AAGGAACTCATACTCCAATGCCTACACGACTTACCTGCCTTACTTTCACTATTTGATTAAATGTGAATAATAAATGAGGTATGGGTATGAATAATGGATGTACATTATTTGTGTGTATGTGTCGGTAGAATTTGCCTATAAAAGGCAAAGCATATGTATTGCAAGGGAGCACAATTGAAAGGAAAGAAAGAAGAAAAGAAAATATTAAGTATAATTTCTGTTCGGTTTCTACTCTGTGTTCTTTATCTTTTCTCGTTTTTATAACAAACACTTTAATGTACAAACTTTATACACAAAATATTTAATTTTGTTACTTTTATGTATATTTATCTGACAAAAATACTTTATATATAATTTTTTAAATTTTAAAATTAATATCCGATTCAACAATTGATCGGGTGATCCGACGATTTGAACCGGGCCCGATAACCCAAAGATCTGCACGAGTCGACTCGGTTGACTACCGAGTCGAGTTTAAAAACTATGATGAACAACGATTTTTTTTTTTTTTTGGTACAAAGAACATGATTGTTTTATAACGTCCCATCAGACACGAAAAGGTCGGAGGCGTACACCACCACCACCATTGGCCAATTTACATAATTTTCAAACAAACTAATCAAGACTCAAGAGCCACCTATGCAAATTAATTCACACATATATAATTAAAATTAACTATAATATAGGAGACATTAAATTAAATAATTACAATGTTAGATACACACAGTATATAAGGACACGTATATATTTAAGGTTTGATTAATGAACACGTATACCCTCAAAGTCAAGCTATGTTGACTTTTTTAATGTTCTTTTTTTTTTTTTTTTACAAAGAATGAGGCAAAAGCCTAGGTCTATCAGATAGGGACGTTCTGTGGATAAGCCACGCCAATAGTGTCGTGTTGTAACTTTTTTAATGTTCTTTATTTATCTGAGAGAGCTAAGAAAAATGTAAGACAAATTAAGGCAAATTATCTTGAAAAGTGGATTAATTTATATGTACGTATGGTAGAGTGGAACACGCGCATAATTGTTTATCAATACACGCAATTATTGGATAAAAAGGAGTATGATGGTTTTTTATTTATTTTTCTTAAGTATTATTAAGAAAAAAAGAAGCATGCAGTGCAAAAAATTATACATTCAATTGGATTAATTACACATACAAATACAACACTAAAGGGAGAGACTATAGTACGTAGTTCACTAGAGCTGTTAAATTAAACGAGCCGATGACTGCTCGTAAACTCGACTCGTCTGATAAACGAGCTAAACTCAAACTCATTTATAGTTTGTTTTGTTAATAGTTGCAATATTCAATAGTTAACGAAGCTATACAAGATTTATTCTAAGAAAATGTTGAAAGATAGATTTTTTTCAAGAATAAATGTTGGTTAAAAAAGCTTCGTTAATCAGTTAGGATAAAAGGATGATATAGAATTTGAAATAATATAAATTAAAACGCGTCGAGCCTAAATAACATTTTCCCACTCTTAGTAATTTTATATAAAAAAATATTATTCTTTGTAATATGGCTCGAGTATAAATTACTATTTTTTTCTTACAAAATAACTCCAGCTTGGATTGCCATGAATACGCTAAAATAATACTTACTTCTTTCCATATAAATCTGTTTATTCTCGTCTATCTATAATGTCCATGTTATTCTCTTTCGTGTGTTGAAATAAAACTACCGATGTTGCATATAAATTAGTTTTTATAATTAAAACAATACATTAAATTAGTTCTTTATTATGAATTATTATACATTTATTTCTTCAAACTTCAATAAAATATATAAACACTCTTTTATCCTTTATTTTATTCTTCTTGTACATTTAATTATTCTATCAAACACGTATATAGTACACAAATTTCGCACTAGCTAGTAAATTTTAAAATCAAGAACTCATGCCCTCACAAATTAATTATGTCACCCCATACCAATTTTTTTTTTTTTTTTTTTTT